TCCCAGGTTCAAGCGATTCTCCTGCCTCAGCCTTCCTGAGTAGCTGGGATTACAGGCATGCGCCACCATGCCTGGCTAATTTTGTATTTTTAGTAGAGACGGGTTTTCTCCATGTTGGTCAGGCTGGTCTCGAACTCCTGACCTCAGGTGATCCACCCGCCTCAGCCTCCCAAAGTGTTGGGATTACAGGCGTGAGCCGCTGTGCCCAGCCTCTCGCAGCCTCTTTAACAGATGTAAAATTGTATAAAATAGTCTGGGTGTGGTGGTTCACGCCTGTAATCTTGGCACTTTGGGAGGCTGAGGCAGGCAGACCACCTGAGGTCAGGAGTTAGAGACCAACCTGACCAACATGGAGAATCCCCGTCTCTACTGAAAATACAAAATTAGCCAGGCGTGGTGGCGCATGCCTGTAATCCCAGCTACTCGGGAAGCTGAGGCAGGAATATCGCTTGAACTCAAGAGGCAGAGGTTGCAGTGAGCTGAGATTGTGCCATTGCACTCCAGCCTGGGCAACAAGAGCAAAACTTGGTCTCAAAAAAAAAAAAAAAAATTGTATAAAATAATAATTGTAACAGTGCATTCCTGGGTTTATAATGTTTAAGGCAATATGTATAACATCTAACAAAAAGTGGGAAAAGGCAATAGAGCTTCATAGGAACAATGTTTCTATACCTCACTAGGATTAAGTTAGTATAAATCTGAAGCTCATTTTGATAAGATGTATATGATAAGCCCTAGAGCAACCACTGAGGAAATAATTCAAAAATTAGTGAAAAAAATCAGTAAAGAAATTAAAATGCTGGCCGGGCGCGGTGGCTCACGCCTGTAATCCCAGCACTTTGGGAGGCCGAGGCGGGCGGATCACAAGGTCAGGAGATCGAGACCACGGTGAAACCCCGTCTCTACTAAAAATACAAAAAATTAGCCGGGCGCGGTTGTGGGTGCCTGTAGTCCCAGCTACTCGGGAGGCTGAGGCAGGAGAATGGCGTGAACCCGGGAGGCGGAGCTTGCAGTGAGCCGAGATCGCACCACTGCACTCCAGCCTGGGCGACAGAGCCAGACTCCGTCTCAAAAAAAAAAAAAAAGAAATTAAAATGCTGTATTACAAAATATTCACTTAATATAAAAGAAAACGTAAAGGAGGAATAGAAGAGCAAAAAAGACATAGGACGTAGAAAAGAAAAAGTGAAATGGTAGATGTTAATCTAACTATATCTTTAGTAACATTAAAAGTGAATGGATTGAATAACTCAATCAAAAGGCAGAGACTTTCAGACTGTATTAAAAAACAATATCCAGTGATATTCTGTCTACAGAAGACAAACTTTAGATTCAAGGATACAAAAAGATTGAAAGTAATCGAAAGAAAAAAGATGTATCATGCAAACAGCAACCACAAGGAAGCTGGAACAGCTATACTAATAATGCAAAATGGACTTTAAAAAACCTTACCAGACATGAGGAACATTTCATGATCTACAGGTCACTGTACCAGGAAGATGTAACAATTATAAACACATAGGCATTCAACAACAGAGCCCAAACATATATTAAATAAATACTGACAGAAATGAAGAAATACACAATAAGCAGTAATATTTGGAGATTTTGATATCCAACTTTTAAAAAAAGTTGTAACTATACGAGATGATGAATATGTTAATTAGCTTAGTTGCAGTAATCATTTTGCAATGTATATCAAAACATCATATTGTACATCTTAAATACATACAATTTTTATTTGTCAATCATACCTCGAGTCAGGAAAAAAATAAGGAAGAGAATAATTGGGCAGAAAATCAATAAGGAAATAAAAGACTTGAGCAATGCTATAAACCAACTAGACCTAGCAGATTTCTGTAGAACAGGAGAATTTATATTCTTCCCAAGTGCACATGGAACACTCTCCAGGATAAACCACATGCTAGGCCATAAAACTTGGTAAATTTACAGGAGTAAAAATGCAATGCATGTTTTCTGATGACAACAGAATGAAATTAGATATTAATAAAAGGAAGAAATTTGGGGAACTCACAAGTATGTGGAAATTAAACAATGCACTCTGTTTTAAATTTTAATTTAATTTGATTTTAAGTTCTGGGATACATGTGGAGCATGTGCAGTTTTGTTACATAGATAAACGTGTGCCAAGGTGGTTTGCTGCACCTGTTAACCCATCACCTAGGTATTAAGCCCTGCATGCATTCCATTTGCTATTCATCCTGATGCTCTCTCTTCCCCCGCCCCTGCCCCCAGGCCCCTGTGTGTGTTGTTCCCCTCCCTATGTCCATGTGTTCTCAGAAACAATGCACTCTTAAATAACCAATAGATCAAAAGAGAAATGAAAAGGGACATTAGAAAATACTTTGATATAAATGAAAATGAAGACATAATATACCTTATAACTTATGGGATACAGCAAACACAGTGCTTAAAAGAAATTTGATAGATGTATATGCCTATATTAAGGACATGATTGAAAATAATCTAGTTTCACCTTAAGACACTGAAAAAGAAGAGCAAGCTACACATAAAGCAAGTAGAAAAAGAAAATAATAGAGATTAGAGCAGAAAGAAGTGAAATCGAGAATAGAAAAACAATAGAGAAAATCAACGAAACCAAGAGCTGGCTCTTTTACAAATCAAAATATTGGCTAGATATACCAGGAAAAAATAGCAGACTGGATTACTAGAATCAAAAATGAAAAAAAGGATTTTGAAATACACAATAAATTATTATTATAATTACCATTTTGTGCAATAGATTACTAAAGTTTATTCTTCCTGTCTAACTGAAAGTGTACCTTTCGATCAACAGTTTCCCTTTCCCCATCCATCTTCCTCCCCATCCTCTGGTAATCACCATTCTACTATTTCTGTGAGTTTGACTTTTTTAGATTCCATGTATCTCACATATATATGGAGTCTATTTGTCTTTCTGTGCCTGGCTTATTTAACTTATCATAAGTGTCATCACAAAAAATAAGTATGTGAGGTGACAGATTTATTAATTAGTTTTATTTAATCATTTAACAATATAAACATAACAAAACATCACATTGTACCCTATAAATATATACAATTATTATTTTTTCAATTAAAATAAAATTTAAATTTTTAAAAAAAGAAATGAAAGAGGAGACATTACTACCAACCTTATAGAAATAAATGCTATGAACAACTATTTGCTAATAAACTAGATACTTGAGATGAAAAACAAGTTTCTAGAAAGACGCAAAACTACTGAAACTGAGTCTAAGAGAAATAGGACATCTACATAAATCTATAGGAAGCAAAGAGATTGAATTAATAAACTAAAAACTACCCACAAAGAAAACCCTAGGCCCTTCACCACTGATTCTACCAAACATTTGAAGAAGAATTAATATCAATTCTTCACAAAGGTTTCCAAAAAATAGAAGAGGGAACACTGCCCAACTCATTCCATAAGGCTAGTATTACCCTGATACCAAAACTAGGCAAAGACATCACAAGAAAACTACAGCCCAGTATCTTTTTACCAATACAGATGCAAAAACCCGCAAATCAATACTAGCAAATGGGATCCAGTAATATATAAAAAGAAGTACGTACCATGAAAAATGAGATTTATCACAGGATAAATGCAAGATTGGTTTTACATCCCCAAATCAATTAATAGAGTATGTCAATAGAATACAAAACAAAAACCTCGTGATCATCTCCATAGATACAAAACAAGCATTTAGCAAAATCCCATTCATGCTAAAACTCTCAGAAAGTTAACAATAGAAGGGAACTTCCCCAACCTGACATTGGGGCCTCTGCAAAGCATATCTAACATCATACTTAGTGAAAAAGGACTGAATGCTTTCCCCCTAAGATCAGGAACAGGGCAAGGGTGCCTGTTTCCACCACTTCATCATTGTACTGGAGGTTCTAGTCAGGATAGGCAAGAAAAAAAAAAAGCATCCATCCAGATTGAAAGGAAGAAGTAAACTCTTTGCAGATGACATGATCTTGTATATAGAAAAAATCCTAAGAAGTCCAGCAAATAACTATTACAACTATTGAACAAGTTCAGCAAGGTTGCAGGATACCAGGTCAATATATAAAAATCAATTGTATTTCCCTGTGCTTGCAATGAATGATCTGAAAATGAAGTCAAGAAAACAATTCCATTTACAAAAGCATCAAAACCAATAAAAAAATTTGGAATAAATTTAATAAAAGAAATGCAAAACTTATACTCTAAAAATTGTAAAATTTTGTTGAAAGAAATGAAAGAAGATCTAAATAAATGGAAAAAATCTCTCTTGTATATGGATCAGAAGCCTTGTATTGTTAAAATGGCAATACTCCCTAAATTGATCTACAGGTTCAGTGGAATCCCTGTCAGAATCTCAGCTGACTTTGTAGAAATTGGCAAGCTGAATGTACAATTCATATGGAATTGCAAGGGACCCAGAATAGTCCAAATTATCTTGAAAAAGAAAAATGAAGTAGGACTGGCACTTCCCAACTTCAAAATTTACCGAAATTACTTTTGTACCAACCTCAGGCCAGAGTAATCAAGACAGTGTGGTACACACATGAAGACAGACATAGAGATCAAAAGAATAGAAGTAGAATCTAGAAATAAAACCACGTGTCTACGGGCAACTGATTTTCCACTAGGTTGCCAAGATGACTCAATGGGAAAGCAAGAGTCCTGTTAACAAACGGTTCTGGGACAACTGGATGGCCACATACAAAAGACTAAAGTTGGGCTCTTATCTCAAGTTTGTGTCATTTAAAAAAATTTTTAAACAACTTCATTGAGATATAATTCACAAAACATAAAATTTACCCATTTAGTGTACAATTCAATAGTTTTTCATATATTCACAGATATGGACAACAATCATCACGATCAATTTTAGATTTTCTTCCCTTCCAAAAGAAACCTTGTATCTTCAGCTATCAGCCCCTATCACTCCATCCTCCCCATCCCTAAGCCACCATCCACTTTCTCTCTATAGGGATCGGAGACCTGCTGTCACAAGCCAAGGAACACATGGAGCCTCCAGAAACTGGAAGAGGCAAGGAAGGATCCTCTCCTAGAGCCTTTAGAGGGGGTGAAGCCCTGCCAACGCCTTGGTTCCTGACTTCCACCCTCCCCTCCAGATCTGCAAGACAATAAATTTCTGTTATTTAAACCACCCAGCTTGTGGTCCTGTAATTGCAGCAGCTTCAAGTTAACACAATCACTTTCTACCCTTAGTTAGAAATCAGCTTGTTATGCCTCTTACCACAGGGAATACAAATTCAGCACATCAGTGGTACTTCCTAGCTAATACCAGCTCGCTAAGCTACCTGTGTCTGAGCTACTAACGCACACACCCCTAACCATTAGGGTGAGTTTTCCTATAGCAATTCCTCAGTCCTCTCATGACAACTGACCACTCTGGTTTAATAGAAATGTTTCAGAACTTTTGTATCTCAAAGTGAAGGAGTGTGGCTGTCAATCTATTTCCTCCCAGAATACCCCCAACCCTTAAGAAGATTTTCCCTTCCTGGTTCCTTAGCAATCAGGGTAAACACTTGCTTTACATGTGTGTGATTGAAGAGTTATTCTAGTGACTTTTTCAGAAGATAGAAGATCTGTTTGAAGAAGGCTAGTTATTTCCGCTATCCAGAAACAACTAGCTGGAATCCTTAATAATCTCTTTCCAATAAAGTAAAACATTAAAGTGACAAGGTTTTTGTTTTTTTCTTTTTTCTTTTTGAGACAGAGCCTCACTTTGTTGCCCAGGCTGGAGTGCAGTGATGCGATCTTGGCTCGCTGCAATCTCCATCTCCCAGGTTCAAGCAATTCTCCTGTCTAGGCCTCCCAAGTAGCTGTGATTACAGGTGTGCCACCACGCCCGGCTAATTTTTGTATTTTTAGTAGAGATAGGTTTTCACCATGTTCACTAGGCTGCTCTCGAACTCCTGACCTCAGGTGATCTGCCTGTCTTGGCCTCCCAAAGTGTTGGGATTACAGGCGTGAACCACCATACCTGGCCTGAAAATGACAAGGTTTTTAAGTACTAAAGAATATAAAACAAAAAGCAAAACTTCCTCCCCACTTTTTTTTTTTTAAGTCTCATTGGGAAAAAAAATTAATGCACCATGTATATCGAAAAATAATATAAACATAGCCGGCCATGGTTGTGGGTGCCTGTAATCCCAGCTACTTGGGAGGCTGAGGCAGGAGAATCACTTGAACCCGGGAGGCAGAGGTTGCAGTGAGCTGAGATTATTTCTCTACTGCACTTCAGCCTAGGTGACAGAGTGAAACTGTCTCAAAAAAAAAAAAAAAAAGGAAAATAAAATAAATAAAAATATTTATACGGTGCTCTATGTGTGTCAGGCACCATTCTAAGAGCTGCATATGTTTTAATTTATTTAATTATGACGTTTTTATTTAGTTATCACGACAACTTTATGATGTAGACATTAACTGTTATTATCTCAATTTCCCAGATGAGGAAACTGAAGCTCAGAGAGGTGAATCACTTGCTTAAGTTCATCCAGATAGAAGTTGTAGAGATGGGACTCTCATCTAGGCTAACCCCATGGTCCAGGCCCTTAACCACAACTGTGTCATCTCAGGAGGAGGAAAGAGAGAAGTGAAGCGCCTGGGGGCTGGTTGCAGAGGGGAAGTGGCTAATGTTACCCCAGCACCTCTTGACACTTCCACTGAGACCTGAAGCAGAAAGGACCAGTTCCCAGTCACTCTTCCCCGCTTCCCACTGAAGTTCCCCTTCAGGTCCCCCTTCCCTTTAACCAGGAGGCTGCAAACTGTCAAAGGAGAACGTGTTATAAAAGTCAAGCCAGGCGTGGTGGCTCACACCTGGAATCCCAGCTACTCAGGAGGCTGAGGAGGGAGGATGGCTTGCAGCCAGGAGTTCGAGGCCAGCCTGAGTAACATAACGAGACCCTCATCCCCTGGAAAAAAAAAAAAAAAGACAGCAGGTTGGGTGGTATAATGTTCTCCGAACATCTCTTCCCTGGGACTCCTCTTGTGGCATCCTTTGCCCCGAGCTTTAGAAGAGTGCCCAATTTTTTTGTCCATCAAGCAGTGTAATAAACCTACTCTTAAAAATTAAGACAGTTTGGCCGGGCCCGGTGACTCACGTGCGTTAATCCCAGCACTTTGGGAGGCAGAGACGGGTGGATCACGAGGTCAGGTGATCAAGATCATCCTGCCAACATGGCGAAATCCCGTTTCTACCAAAAATACAAAAATTAGCTGGGCATGGCGGTGCATGCCTGTAATCCCAGCTACTTGGGAGGGTGAGGTGGGAGAATAGCTTGAACCCGGGAGGTGCAGATTGCAGTGAGCCAAGATTGCGCCACTGCACTCCACCCTGGCAACAGAGCGAGATTCCGTCTCAAAAAAAAAAAAAAAATATATATATATATATATATGTATGTATGTATATATATGTATATATGGATATATATAAAGACAGTTCATTAAGCAGACATGGAGATGGCCTGGAGTATAATAGGATTTTAAGGTTTTTTAAAGGCAGGAGACAAAGTTGTTAATTACAATTTGCCCATTATGTAGACTCTGTGAATACAGACATGAAGAGGGCCAGGGAAAGAAGGAGACAGTTGCTTTGGACATTGTAAGAAAATTCTCTCTTCAATAGATGCTCTCTCTCTCTCTCTCTCTTTTTTTTTTTTTTTTTTTTTTTTTTTGAGACAGAGTCTCTCTTTGTTGCCTAAGCTGGAGTGCAGTTGTGTGATCTCGGCTCACTGCAACCTCCGCCTCCCGTGTTAAAGCGATTCTCCCACCTCAGCCTCCCGAGTAGCTGGTATTACAGGCAAGGGCCACCATGCCTGGCTAATTTTTGTATTTTTGGTAGAGACGGGGTTTCACCGTGTTGGCCAGACTGGTGTCGAACTCCTGAACTCAGGTGATCCGCCTGCCTCGGCCTCCCAAAGTGCTGGGATTACAGGCGTGAGCCACTGCACCCTGCCTTCAAAAGATAGTCTTAAAAACAAACAAAAACCTTTACAAAATAATCGGAGATATTGAGGGTTTTTAAAGAAAGCTTTAGCATTTCTAAGGTTTGGAGGAGGGGGATTGGATACAGTTTTAAAATAAATTTTTTATTTTAGAATAGTTTTATATTTACAGAAAAATTAAGGTGACAGTACAATTACGATTTGTCGGAATGTATAGCAGAATTTGCCCATAAACCTTCTAGGACTTTCTTAGATACTTCCTTTGTAAGTTCTTCTTTGGTTATTGGTCCATTCAGACTTCCTATTTTTTCGTAGACTAATTATTGTCATTAAAACTACCATGAAGAATCTCCCATTTTAATCTAAATTTAAATTTTTAGGTTAAAAAAAAGAATCCTAGCCCTCGCTCCTGATTGGACATCAAGGATAAGGGGCGTGGCTTAAGCGCTGAGTGGCATATTGAAAGTCGAGCTGCGAACTTGGACAGAACGTCTTGTTAGAAAGCAGGTTGGGGCGGCAGGGTCAACTCGTGTTTCTCGACCAGTTTGTGGACCTAGGAAACAGGGGTCCCTGTGCACAACAGGAGTGCTGCCCACCGGCAGGAGATGGCACAGAGGACCAGAGCCTGGCTCAGTTTCCCTGCAAACATCATCCCAAGCGCCCCGCGCACTTTCATGTGGTGTTCGTGGAGCGCCCCCTGGAGCTCGAAGGCTGGTGGTGACCCTGGAGTTAGGCATCTGGGTTACTTAATACATTCATTTCCCAGACTCTCAGGACATGACTTAGCCCCAGGCTTCTAGAATTGCTTCCCAGGCTCAGTTCCCACTTCCCAGTCATGTTCCACCACCACGACCCCTCGCCTGACCGCGGGATGAGATGCAGCTCACCCATTCCTCCGAAGACAGACATCCCTGTTACGTGTAGGGAACAGGTTTTGTTGTTTTTTAAAAAAAGCTCCCACCACGCCTGCCACCAACAATTCTTAATGTTTTATTTTTCTTAAATGTTCATGCAAAGAGAATAACAAAGTAAACACCCGTCTACTCACTATTTCACCGCTTAATACAGTCGTTTTTTAAAAATCAGAAGTAAGCTATGCTTACCATAAAAAATGCCTAAACGTTACAAAAGTCAAAAGCAGAACTCCAAGCTGTGGTCTTATCTTCCAGCTCATAGGGTCCTTTCTAGAGAACGTGGTTGTGTTTGCAAATCTGCACTCACTTAGAGGATGGCTGGGTTACAAGAGAGCACTCTACACCGGGGGTCCCCAACACCCCCACTCCCCACCCCCACAGACCAGTACCCATGGTGGCCTGTTAGGAACCAGACCGCACAGCAGGAGGTGAGCAGCGGGCCAGCCAGCAAAGCTTCGTCTGTATTTGCAGCCACTCCCCGTCGCTGGGTTACAGCCTGAGCCCCGCCTCCTGTCAGGTCAGCCAGGGCACTAGATTCTCAAAGGAGCGCAAACTCTATTGTGAACTGCGCATTCGAGGGATCTAGGTTGCGTGCTCCTTATGAGAATCGAATGCCTGAAGATCTGTCACTGTGTCCCATCACCCCCACATGGGACCATCTAGTTGCAGGAAAACAAGTTCAGGGCTCCCATTAGATTTGACATTATGGTGAGTTGTATAATTATTTGATGATATATTATAATGTAATAATAATAGAAATAAAGTGCACAATAAATGTAATATGCTTGAATCATACCCAAAGAATCCCCCACCCCACCCACCCCACCCACCCCACTGCTGCCGTCTGTGGAAAAATTATCTTCCCCAAAACTGGTTCCTGGTGCCCAAAACGTTGGGGACAGCTGCACCTCACAGTTCCGCAGCTGCTGCCATCCTGGTTTATCCATACATCTTGGGGCTTCCAGGTCAGCCCCTGCAGCTTTACCTTCTTCTTGTTTATAGCTGCATAGGCTTAGATGTTCAGAGAATAGTCCAGTCTCTGTTCCTTCCAGCTTTAGAGCCTCAGCGTTTCTTCACATCAGTCACTTGCTTATTAATTATTTAAAGGTTCTTGCTGCTTCTTTCTAAAACTAAAGGAGAGGTCCCTGATCAAGTTGAATTTTGCAAAGGTGAGTAGTGACTTTTACAGTTAATTCCTGGGATTGGCTGGGGGAACTCAAGGCCTCCAGCCCTCACTAAGTTCTCTTAGGGAATCATTCATTCCTTTAAGATCAAGCTAGACGGT